AAATGGCCGACTGGCGGCCATTTTGTTAAAGAATTCAGTTCTGTATCCGTATCCAAGACATGTCTGGATTGATCAAGTTCAAACATCACACACACATGGTACATCATGTCACAAATAAATATGTGCATTTGTTTCATGATCTGCTTAACAATAGCGGAATGATGGCCATTTTAAGGCCGAAAATGCATCAAAATCACGTATTTTCACAATTCCAGAACCGGATCTCAGTCATGCATGGATGGATTTTGTTCAGATTTATTACAATGTGTTGTACATATGCAGGTGCATTTCGGTCATGATCTGCTTTGAATGTATATGTCACTCAAATATGAACGGAACGGGGACGTGTCATTGACAATGACTTGTCATTTCATGTCATACATTGCTGTCTCAGCATTTTCATTTCATGTCATACATCATTTTGCTGTCTCAGCATTTTCATATGTAATATTACAGGGCCAGTTCATTTTGTACAATGTTTCTAAACTAAATTTTTTGTGAATTAATAACTGAAATGATTTGTTTTATCACTACATTGTAGCGTCAACCGTCAGACTTCAAAACGTTCCAAGTTGCAAAATAACTCGTGGCACTTGCGTATCACATGTCAGATTGGTGTAGAGTACGCATCTGAGAGTCAATGCATACAAAGTCTCACTGTCACTAGTATTTTGATCAATAGACAGATTGCCATTTCACTTATATTTGAACTTTTCTGCCGTGCGACACATTACAATGTTTATGTGTTTAGAATTGTTCATAATTTGTTGCTAAAATTAAGCGCCGCTTTTAACGGTTCATTTATTTCTAGCTAATGGATTTGAAGGTTTTTGTAGATACTGACTCCGACATCCGATTGGCTCGTAGACTAAGTCGTGATATATCTGAACGAGGCAGGGATATTGTTGGAGTTTTAAAACAATACAATAAATTTGTGAAGCCAGCTTTTGAGCAGTTTATTGAACCCAGCATTCAGCATGCTGATATTGTAGTGCCCAGAGGTAAGTGCTAACATGTGACTTAGTGGTGACATCAGGATTCAAACTGAGGCAGAATGATTCCCAATGGCCTTCAATATTCACTAAAAAAATATATATATTTACAAGGTTTTGTCTGATTGGCTATCCAACCCTAACATCTAACAATCAGACCAATCAGAGAGCAGCTTGTTGACAGGTTGGTAACACATAATGCTCACAATTTCAACACCGTATAAGTTCAGACCCAAGTTCTACTGAGCGTGTCACAGCCTCACTGGGGAGACCAAAGCATCTTGTGGAGTTTCATGAGATTCTTAAGTGTTAAATTAATTTTGAATGATATAGCAGGTTTTTTTTAAAACAAGGCAACAGTGGCGCAGCACCCTCGTGCCATGGCCATGCGCCTCCTTACCCTGGGAAGCAGATCCTCTGGCAACCATAAAATTCTGATTGACCAGGGATCACATGTGGCCACAGTCTTCAACTGTGACCTGTCTGATAATAATTTTGGCCCCAAGGAAGCCATAGAATGCTCCATCTTAACTTAGAATTATCAAAAACTCCACACCCTGGTAGGGAGAACCCTATATCCCCCACTTGGTGGCACTGCAGAATTGCAGTGCTCCCTCTTGCAGTTTTTTTTTCTAGTAAAACCCCTGGATATAGAATACAAAAAAGTGCAAAAAGAAAATGACTGTTTTGTAGTTGAGGATTTGGCAGTATTAATACAGCTATTCACACCTACTTGTTGAAATAAACGCTTAGCTTGACTGATGAGTGCAAGGCTGTTTCATTATATAGACACAATAGAACCCAACCTTGAAAATGATATTGTGGTGCTTTTAGTTATGTTGTCAGTCATGGTCTTTTAGCGACTTCAAATTATGTATTGGAAAAGATGGTTATCTGAGTTAATGGTAACAATGATTTGATTGGTTACCTTGAATGGTAACAATGATTTGATTGGTTACCTTGAATGGTAGGAATGATTTGATTGGTTACCTTGAATGGTAGGAATGATTTGATTGGTTACCTTGAATGGTAACAATGATTTGATTGGTTACTTTGAATGGTAGGAATATTTTGATTGGTTATCTTGAATGGTAGAAATGATTTGATTGGTTACTTTGAATGGTAGCAATGATTTGATTGGTTACCTTGAATGGTAGCAATGATTTGATTGGTTACTTTGAATGGTAGCAATGATTTGATTGGTTAAATTGATGTCCTCTTACCTGAGCAATAAACGTCTGAATCCAACATTCACTGCTGTTGTTGACAGCTTTGTACTCAAACATGTAGCTTTATTTGCAGGAGGTGAAAATGAAGTTGCCATGAATCTGATTGTACAGCATGTACATAGAGAGTTAGAAAATGTAAGTATGCATTAATCATTAGTACCGTAATCTTTAGCAAACCATGACATTTAGTTTATCTAGGGATTATCCCTATTATCGGGATTACTGGTTTGTATTTATTATAGATTATAGTAAATAAATCTCATATTTAGATGGCGTATGTATATGCAGACTGGTATTCATTCATTCATTCATTCATTCTGTTTGTTTGTTTGTTTGTTTGTTTGTTTGTTTGTTTGTTTGTTTGTTTGTTTGTTTATTTATTTATTTATTTATTTATTTATTTATTTATTTATTCCACAGAAGAATGGTCTTTAATTTCTAATTTGTCCAGAGATTGATACCAAATTTGATGTCAATGTCTAGTATCCAAAAGAAAATGGATTGATTTTTGGAAACAGCTCCCACTATAGTTTTGTTTTTTCTCATGTTACTATGCAAGGAGAGAAAGATGTAAAATCGTTTCAAAAATGCAACCAGTATTTATTAGTCCCCGTTCGGACAAAGTCCGAAAACGGGGACTTATAATTCGATCTCCGTCCGTCAGTGCATCCGTCCGGAGTCATATCTCAGAATCCCTTGGGCTGATTCTGTTCATTCTTTCCATGTGCCTAGTACTTTATGTGGGACATATGCACATGCAGTGGTTTAGCTATTCGATTCAAAATGGCCGACTGGCAGCCATCTTGTTTTTTGAAAATGTTGTATTTTGGACATGCTTTGTCAGTTTTTATTCAAATTTTGTACATAGATCATACATGTTAGGATACATGTCCCTGACCGTTCGGAGTTCCTGAGTGTCTGTCCGTCTGTGTGTCCGTCCGTCCGTGCATCAGTCTGTCCAGAGTCATATTTCAGAATCCTGTGGACCGATTCCGTTCATTCTTTGCATGTGTCTAGTACTTTATGTGGGACATATGTACATGCAGTGGTTTAGAGATTCGATTCAAAATGGCCGACTGGCAGCCATCTTGTTTTTTGTGAAATGTTGTATTTTGGACATGCTTTGTCAGTTGTCATTCAAACTTGGTACATACATGTACTTTATACATGTTAGGATTCTTGTCCATGACAATTTGTTTCAAAATCTAGTCAAGGATGGCCGATTGACAGCCATCTCACTTTTTGGCCTTACTACTATATTTCCACAATTTATGTACCATTTTCATTCCAATTTGGCACATACATCATATACATATCAGTGTGTTTCATAATCAGATCAAAGATGGCCGAATAATGGCTGTTTTTATTTTTGGCCATATTACTACTACACGAAACACGTGTTTTGATGTAAATAAACAATCTGTTGGAACTCAAGTTTAAAGGACACGCTCGTGACAACCCCTCCGCTTTAATATGACTAGCACAAAGAGAACTTTCAAACATTTAACAGGGACTGTGTCATTTTCAATGACTTGTTTTATGATAAATAAGTGATTACCAAAATATTAAATTTTTTTATTTTTATCACATTATACTGTGATTAATTTTCTGTACTTAAGTCTTTTCTATGATTTGATAGCATATGCGCAATTAAATTCATGAAATTTTTTTCCTCAAATTTGACAATTCTCCTGACTCACAGAAGTAATTTTATATAATATAATGTTTTCTATTTATTGTTCACAGAGAGGTTTTGTTTTCAGGTGAGTACTCAGTATTGTTATAGATTGCATCAACCAATGTTCAGACCTGATCAAATTATGTCTCTATGAACATTACATGCTTTTATTTGTCTGTGAAACCTTTGAGTTTGAACTTTATCATCTTTTTCAAAATAAACCCCCATTTCTTTCAATTATTTTAATCAAGACATGTAAACAATAAAAAAATGTGTCCATTTGGTTCAAAATTACCAAAGAAGTTATAAAAATGTTGAAAATGTTGGCGAAAGACATTACAGGATTATGGAGGCTCAAAACCAATCATGGATTGGTGAGAATTTGACTGAATTCTGGGTAATTTATAGTGCTGTGATATTCATGTTCTAATGTACTAACTTGATAATAAATCAAATTAATTTCCTATCATTGAAGTAAGGTTTCTTCTGTCTAGACCATATTGACATGCCAAATGTTGCACTGTGTATTGATTGCAGGGCTCATTTAGCTGATGCTCACATTGGACAGCCATTGCCGGATAGTTTATACGTCGTAGATAACACCACACAAGTTAAAGGTCTTCACACATTTATCAGGTAACTTGTATTGACTGGCCGTGAGGGCAATCCTCGGGGGCGAGGCTACGTCACATAACGTTTTTAACTTTGACAATGTCACCGTCAGCCTTTTCCTGAAACTGAAACTGAAACTGAACTGAAATATTCAGTTGAAAGTTCTTTAAAAAGTTGGAATTTCCTCATGTGTAGGAGATGGCGTAATAAATAAAATTCTAAGTGACCCACATCTGACAACATAATGTCCAATCATAACATAGAACCCTGTTATAATACCATCTACAATGCAGGACAAGGGTTTATATTTAGTAGATAACACCTTACAGGTCAAAGTTCGAATAATTGTGCTGATACAAAATTAAATTTTCCATTTGAACATGCATTTTCAGTAGTTGAATACTAGAAACTTGAATGATTTTTTACTTGTATTTATATTTTTCAGAAATAAAAATACGGGTCGTGATGAGTTTATATTCTATTCCAAAAGAATTATGAGAATACTTATAGAATATGCTTTATCATTGCTGCCATTCAAGGTAACCAATCAAATTAGTGCTTCCCTTCAAAATAACCAATCAAATCATTGCTCTCTTCAGAATAACCAATCAAATCAGTGCTTCCCTTCAAAATAACCAATCAAATCATTGCTCTCTTCAGAATAACCAATCAAATCAGTGCCTCCCTTCAAAATAACCAATCAAATCATTGCTATCTTTCAAAATAACCAATCAAATCATTTCTAACATTCAAGGTAACCAATCAAATCATTGTTCTCTTCAGAATAACCAATCAAATCAGTGCTTCCCTTCAAAATAACCAATCAAATCATTGCTATCTTTTAAAATAACCAATCAAATCATTTTTAACATTCAAGGTAACCAATCAAATCATTGCTACCCTTTAAAATAACCAATCAAATCATTCCTATCTTTCAAAATAACCCATCAAATTAGTGCTTCCCTTCAAAATAGCCAATCAAATCATTGCTCTCTTCAGAA